GCCTGTATTTGTTTGATTCATCAGAACATGCTTGAATAAAGTAATTCAATTCTTCCTCATTTTTAATGTTATTTGAGCCCTTTAATATAATTTGATGAGCTATTACAGTTGTTACAGCTGCTAGTTTTGCCCTCAATACTGATTTCACTTATGACCTCAGCCAAAACAAGATTTAAAGTTGAGATGATGTAAGTGAATAAGGTTTATTAAATTTATTCATGGAGCAATTTAAATAAGAATCTGCCTACCTTAGAATAAGGCCTGAATGAAAAATGCATTTGATTTATGGACCTGTCTATTTTAAAGATTTGTATATAGCTTAGGATGATTAAGTAAGAGACAGACCTGATTATATGAAATATGCAATTTTTGTAATGCAATATTGGAAGCAAGCTGCTAAACAGCAACAGCATAACAATGACTGGTCAAATATTTTTATTAAAAGAGAACTGCATAGCTGGAATGCAGAATCATATGAGCATTGAATACAAAAGCCGCTGTTCTTTTGAATCTCATTTTCTAACAAAGAAAGAAAGTAAAAATCCCTACTTTCTGACAAAAAAGTAGTGTATTCATTGTGTTTGTCTGCTTGCATGCTTTCTGAGCCACAATAATTTATTTCTGATGTTGATTTCATTATAGATATATACAGGTATTCTTTACAAGGCCATGTGCCCTAGATCAAAATTTCTAAGGCTGATGCAATGAATTTCCAGAAATATTATGAGGAAGAAACATAAGAATTACTCTAAATTTTTATTATTGTTTCCTAAATTAGTTTGTTTATATTTTTTGAACTTTTATTACTTTGGGAGATCCATTTTATTCTTATCCATCCTGCCTTTGAATTTTTGGTCCTTTGGAGGGACCCATTTTGGCATTTTAAGGAAGGGAAAAAATTTAAAAAAAAATTTTTTTTAATGTTTATGTTGTCAGTCTTACAGGTAGACCAGACAGGAAACAAGCAGATGAGCTGTTCTACTTTATCGTAAGGCAACGTTAACAGAATCTTGTTAATCTGAAGATACAATTATTTATGTATTTATATTTATATTTTATATTTCTGGACCATCCATTTTCCTCAAGGGGGAGCTCTGGGTGGTGTACAAGTACAGTATCAAAGTATAAAGCGGTATACAATAATTAAAATGTTAAGTTAAAATTTAGATTTTAAAATAGCAGTAGACTTATATACCGCTACTAAAAGATTATGAAATTGTAAGAAATTTCAAAGAGGCAAGAAAAAGTCCAAGGAGGCAATTTAACCCTGTTAAAATTGGTTGATAAAGGCCAAGTAAAGGTTCTGATGGCACCAACCCCTGATTGCATAATCTTTTGGGCTCCTCATGCAAGGCTACAGTAATGTTTTGACTTCTTTTCAGAAGGCTGGTAGAATGGGAGCCAACCTCAACTCCAGGAGAAGAATATTATATAGGGTGGGAACATTGGTAGAGGAGGCTCTCTTCCTAGACCCTGCCAATTGGAATTCTTTGACTAACTGGATCTGCAACATACCGAACTTCCCCTGCCTGTTTGGGTGGCATGGGCAGATGTGATGGAACAAAACCAGTTCCAAAGGTAGGCTACTCTATGCCGTGAAGGGCTTTAAAGTCATGACCAATACCTTAAAGCAAATTGGTAGCCAGTGCAGTTTATGGAGCAGATGTGTTACATGTGCCTTTCTTTGGGCAACCACTGTGGCTTGCCACACTTTGCACCAGCTGAAGCATCCAGGTATGTGTCACAGTAGCCCTATGTACTGTTTCCCCGAAAATACAGCCTATCCCAAAAGTAAATCCTAGCTTGATTTTTTACATGTGTGCCCAATATAAGCCCTATCCCCCAAATAAGCCCTAGTTAAGACCCCACCCACTCTGGAGCGCATGGCGTGGGTGAGGTGGAAAGGTAAAAATTAAGATAGGATGGGAACAGGGGGTGGAGCTGCCCTATTTATTAGACCTCACACACCTTGATAACCGCCTCACCTTCTGGCCCACATCTTCTGCAGCCACTTGCTGCTGCTTATGCGTGACACCCCACCCCAGGCAACACTACACTCTGGATAAATTCAGAGCTCTTTTATCAGATACTTTCCAGAAGGCCTCTGATGGCAAAACTGAGGCCAAAGGCAATGTGCCTGAGCAGTGACAAGTAGCCGCAGAAGAAGTGGGCCAGCAGCAGGCTGCTGTTGGGCAGGGCTATCGATGCCGCCATTGCGAGTTGAATCTGTAATTAGACATCACCTGAAAATAGGCACCTGATTCCTTTTTTAGTGGCAAAAAATATATAAGACCGAGTCTTATTTTCAGGAAAACATGGTAGAGTACATTGCAATAGTCCAATTGAGAGAAGACCAGGGCATGAATAACCAAGCAGAGGGCCTCCCTGTCTGAGAAAAGACGTAACTCACAAAACACAAAGTAGGGCAAAGGCTCTCCTAGCAACAGCTGCCAATTGCTCTTCACACAAGAGCCCTGAGTTCAAGAGGAACACCAAGTTACACATTGCATCTGTCTAGGAGTGTGCAACTCCATCTAGGACCAAAGATGATGAACTCCTGGCTACAAAGGGGCCCATACACAGCCACTCCCTATTACCAGGATTCATCTGAAGCCTATTTTTTCTATTAGAGCTCCCACAGCCTCATCAAGGACAAATATCTACTGCATCACTCACCACCCTGGGCAGATATATACTGTATAACTGGCTGTCATCATCACACGGCTGATATGTCATCCATCCCATGGTTAGAGATGATCTTACTCAATGATCTTATGTAGAGATTAAAAAGAAGTGAGGAAAACACCAAACCCTGTGGCACTCTGCAAAACAGGGCAGTGAGCTGGATCTCTCACTCCCTATTAAAATTGACTGGGACTGGCCTTGGAGGAAGGAGATGAACCAGCATAAGAACATTCCACCCACCCCTAACTCCCTAAATCAGTCAACAAGGATGTCATGATTGATGGTATCAGAAGTCACTGAGAGGTCAAGAAAAGCAAGGACAAATGCACCACTTCCATCTTGCTCCTACCTGAGATTATCCATGAATGCAACCAATGCACTTTTGGTCCCATATCCTGTACACACGTGAAACCTGACTAAAGTGGGTCCTGATAATCCAATTATTCTTGTCTCCTTTACAACCTGAGAAATTAAGGAATGTCTCTTCTGACATTTCCACTATCCAGCTGCAGACTATGTTGATAAAAATATGAATGTAGAATTAGATTTTAAAACTTTCTTACTGTTTTGAATACCTGTTGCGCCACAAGACAGTTTCCAAGTTTGCAATTTTAAGCACAATAAAGCTATATATATATATGATTCTGTCTTTAAAATTGCCCTATTTGATCCCACAGCCAGATTGACAGATTACATTATATNTGAATCCCGTGTGTGTGTGTGTGTGTGTGTGTGTGTGTGTGTGTGTGTGTGTAAGTAAAGGTAAAGATTCCCCTCACATATATGTGCCCCAACTCTAGGGGGTGGTGCTCATCTCTGTTTCGAAGCCAAAGAGCCAGGACTGTCCAAAGACCTCTCCGTGGTCATGTGATTGGCATGACTAAACGCCAAAGGTGCACAGAATGCTGCTACCTTCCCACCAAAGTGGTTCCTATTTTTCTACTTGCATTTTTACATGCTTTTGAACTGGTAGGTTGGCAGAAGCTGGGACAAGTAAAGGGAACCCACTTCCTTATGCAGCACTAAGGATTTGAACCATTGAACCGCCGACCTTTCTGATTGATAAGCTCAACATCTTAGCCACTGAGCCACCATGTCCCATACACACACAATGTTTTTATTGTACATTTTCCATTTATTTTACATAACAATTTCAATTTTGCAACAACTGGTTGCATCAAGTCTTTTTTAAACTTCATTTTTCCTTGAAGATGTTTTGCTTCTCATCCAAGAAGCTTCTTCAGTTCTGAAGCTTCTTGGATGAGAAGAAATACATCTTCAAGGAAAAACAAAGTTCAGTTGCCTTTTGAAAAAAGAACCTTTGGGATAACCATCACTGGATGACTGAAAATCTCCATAGAGATTCAAGGAGTGGAAAGTTCTTAGTGGGGGAAAGGCCCAAAAAATAGTATGAATTATCTTGGATCTTCTATCTCTCATTTTTCAAAGTAAATACAATCACATTAATATGATCTACCTTAGGTCATATAGAAAATTTCTTGCATTTTCCAATCCACAGATTGAAGATCAGTTGTGTTGCCGGTGAAGAATTATACTCTGGTGTAACTTTCTGTGGGAATCAGTGATACAGCACTGGCATGCTGATTTAAAGCAGATGCTGATTGATGCCAATTGGGCAGATGCATCATAATTACTATGTGTGTTTATCAGTTCACATGTAGATGAAACAGAGACCTTATACAGTATATTTCTAACTTAAAACTCTAAAACTCTAAACTCTAAAAAAAGTGCAGAACAAATCAGAACCTACAGTGTTCATTTACATCAACTTCCTCAGTCTTCTGCTAACCAGCCTACTGGATATTCTGCTTTAAGTTGACTCACCTTAATGGCATAAGCACTGCCATTCAAGAAACAGGGTGACACTGCAACAGTATTGGATGTGAGCATCAAGAGAATCCCCAGTCCGCAACTAAAACAGTTGAAAACCTATTTAGCTGTGTTAATTTTATAGTAGTATTTTCTCTTCAATACAATTTGTATTATGGGCATGGTCCAGCATGCTTCATTAATGATGTACACTACAGTATTTTCTGATGCAGCAAGATTAGGAGCTATTGGCAACCTTAGGCTACTGTATACTTGCCCTCTGTCTGGCCATTGTGACTTAGGTTGCATGAGAGACCAAACATCTGGTGTTCACAATAATTTGCTTGCATAATAATGTATCTGACTGAGTCTTTCCAAAGCACAAGTCAAGCCTTATATAGGTTCCATAGGAGACTGCAGGTTTTTTTAAATTTTATTTTAACAAGGTTGAGTGTTATTTCTGCCATCAGTGAATGCATCATAAGTTTTCCACTGCTTCTGGCCATCTGAGTTTCTCTGTAGCAATAGTTTAAACTAGTTTTATTATTTTGATGATGTTGCAAAATTTGCCTATCACTACTCCATTTTGCCAAATCCCAAGAAATTTGTATGTATTTCTTGCTGTGCTTGTTTGCTGTCAATATTGCCATTGCCAGCATAAATTGATGATGTACAATCAATATGATACTTGCTCACTACTGATAGTGGCCATCATTTTATCCTACATCCTTCTTTTGCACTTTTTAGTCTGACAGACCAGTCAGAGGAATAGAAGGATATGGAGAGAAAGAGAAGATGCAGAAGGTCTTATGCTCCTCACAAAGCTTCCTTTGTCCTTTGACATGTCAGTGTTCAGAAATAGCCCAACTGAGAGGTTCCCCGGAATCCATTACAGGATAACTTAACAGATAGCTACACCCAGTGGTGGGATTCAAATAATTTAACAACAGTTCTCTGTCCTAATGATTTCTTCCAACAACCAGTTCAGAAAGTTAACAACCGGTTCTCCCAAAGTGTTGCAAACTGGTTGAATTCCACCACTGGCTACACCAGCAATTAAAGACACATGCCTATACTTGTCCCACCTCACATTTAGGAAATGTTTGTGTCGTGTGTGTGTTCCTGGCAGCCAGGGATGATTAGTGAGAGAAAAAAGAAAACCAGGGGGAATCAACTTTCCAGATGTTGCCTACATTAAATCATAAAGGATAGCACAATTTTTACTAACCAAAGAAGCAAAAATCTCAAGAGATTTTAGAAAGGCGCCTTTAATATAAATCACGAGTAAAAACAAAATCTTCAAAATAGGCTGATTTATGTCAGTGAATGTGCAGTCTTTCTTCCCACAGACCCCAAAACTGCATTGTATTGTATTGTCTCACATAAAATGAACACAATAGTATAGTATACTTTTTTGCTGTTGCAAGGATTAGTGATTACATTTGTATATATTCATCGAATTTTCTCCTTATGATGGCCACAAGAAGAAAAGTCCAAGGAGTATGCAGTTAAGAAATAGAAAATTGAGACATAGTGTCTGGAAGATACCAAGTTCTCTCTCTAAAACCTGTAGAAGATTACTGCTGTAACTAGTCAGTTTAGGATGGAATTTAGTTACTACCAAAAATTATATATAAAAATCACTGTAAAAATGTTTGGGTATCTAATGAGGAGCCCTGGAAGTGCTAGCTGGAACCCAATCAAGTACCAAATAGGTCCAACCAGTCTTATTTCTCAGACCAACCAAGATCAGTCAGATGCTGCCACCTGCTGTAGTCAGTTAATATGAATATTATTTGGAAGTAAAATAATGGAAGCGGCCTTACAAAACTCATTGCTTTTGATGGATAATTGATGCTACTTAGGCAATACTAAATGGAGACTGGTTAAAATCATGGCGGTTTGGACTACCCACAAAGTCTTCTGTGGAACATCTAGGGTTAGAAAATGTGTAATTGTCAATCTCTGAAAAGGAGACAATGGGATAATTTTTGCTTTCATGCTGTATGCAGAAAGGTCCCCTGCTAAATCAGAAAGGGTTTTGACTTCATCCTTGAATTTTACCTTAGGTAAGATGCAGGTGAAGGTATATATGGAGCAGATATATCTGGAGTTTTCTGGAAGTTTAGGATTTAAGTTCCCATCAATTCTAGTAGTAGAATATTGTGGAGAAAGAAACAGCAGACAAAATATTTAATTCTTTACCTATGATTACTACTAGTAGGAGGAAGAGCCAGCAGTTGAATACTCAGTACATCAAAGTATTTGCTATAGCTGTGCATGCATTATGTTTTGAATAATACAGGCATTCAGGTTGCAGGTTCTTATGGAAACTGTTTTCAGTTTAGATATTACTTCAAATGAGCTAGTGTGTTACTCTAAAGATGCACAATATTTTTGGACCAGTGGACTGATTTGGAAAATAGCTGCCTTCGTGAGCATGAACTTTAAGAAAATACACATTTACTACAGGACAAATTGAAGATGCTTCTCTTTGCTTTCTCTTTCTGTCCCAATTTATTTGGCAAATTTTGAAACCACTCATTGCCCTCAGAGATCAATTTTGGGTAGTGCTCAAATAAAACATTTAAATAGTATATACGATTTACAAAAAGACAAGGATTATTAAAATTAAATATTAAAACATAATTAATTCATTAACACCTTTCCAAAAGACCAGGAAAACAGGACCTCATTTCTGGATGGTGGTGGTGGAGAATGTTCCAGAAGACAGAAGCTACAGCAGATAAAACTCTCTTTCTGAACCCCGTTAGTCAGAATTATTTGGTCCACAGGGTCTATAATGTATCTTCCCTGCCTGACAGGTTGGAGGACTGATGTAATGGGAAAAAGACATCTGTGTAGGTAACCTGGCTCTATGTAGGGCTTTAAAGGTCATAACCAATACCTTTAACTGGACTGAGAAGCATACTGGATCCCAGTGCAGCTCATGCAGCAAAGATGTTACATGCACCATTCTTTGAGTGTCCAAGATTGCTGATGCAGTTGCATTCTGTACCAACTGAAGCTTCCAGAAGCTTTTTCAAGAGTAGCCCCATGTAGAGCTCATTGCAGTAGTCAAAATGGGAGTAACCTGGTCATGAGTAATCGATAACCTATCCAATGGCATTATGACACACAATACAAAATTGAACAAAGAGTACAGCTACCATGATTCTAGGAGGACTCCAGATTATATACTGGCTCCATCTGGGATAGTGAAGATCCAAGACCAAAATTGATAAACTCCTGGATGCAGAGGAGCCTGCCCCCATCACTCCATCTTACAGGGTTCAGATGAAGTCTGTTGTTCCCCATCGAGGTCCCCACAGTTTCCAGATGCCACAAAAGAATGTCTACAGCATCACTTACTTCACCTGGAACGAAAATATATAACTTGCTATCATCAACATACTAATGATACCTCATACCATGGCAATTAATGATTTCACCCAGTGGTTTTTGAGTAAACGTTAAAAACACTCCACAAAGCAGCGGCAGTGAGCTGGATCTTGACATCATTTGGGACCAGCCTCAGAGGAAGGAGATAACCAGCACAGAATTGTGCTACTTACTCCAACTCTCTAAATTGGCCCAAAAGGATCTCATGATCAATGGTATCAAAAACTACCCAGAGGTTCAGAAGAGCAAGGTTGGACACACTAGCTCCATCCCACTCCAGCCAGAGATCATCCACATGTGCAACAAATGCTATTTTTGTCCCACATGCAGGCCTGAAACCTGATTGAAAAGGGTCCAGATGTTTCCTCATGTTGTTCTGGAGTTACAATGCCACAACTTTCTCGATCACCTAAAAAGGCAAGGTAGAAGACTGGCTGAGGAGAAACTGAGTGATTCTAAAAAGCCTGACTGACCATCATTCTATGGATGCCATAAGAACGGAGAAATATTGGCAGTTTGTCACTCATACCTCCAGGACAGCGGTGGGATTCAGCCAGTTCGCACCTATTCGGGAGAACCAGTTGGTAATTTTCTAAGTAGTTCAGAGAACCAATTGTTGGAAGAAATCCCCTTTTGTTTTTTTCCACTTTACAGGGCTAATCCTGTAAGGAAGGCAGGAAGGAAACATTCTGGTGTTGTTTCTANATATATATATGACTTTACTATTCAATAAACCATATTAACAAAATATGATTTAGCACATTTTTGAACCTAGTGCTAACACTTTTATGTTGTGATTACTACATTGAGCATAATATTAAATTAATATGCTTATTTACTGGAAAATTACAATTAAAACTAGAGTTTTACACATACATGTATATAACCTCCGGATGGAAGGGCAGTCAAAAATGTCATAAACAAGATTAAAAGTGCTTCTATTCTATAGGCCAGAAAAATCCATGCTGTAGCAATTAAGTTTAAAAGCTTCTGACATATAAGTAAAATAAATATTCTGCTGATAAAGAAATTTCAAATCAAGGGATCGTACGAGTAATGCAATTTGCATAAAACAGAGTTGCCCCAGAAATTTCTAATCTAAATCTTAACCTAATTTGTATATGGTAATTTTATTTATTTCTTCCTAAAGTACATGGATTTTACCAATTATTCCAATTAAATTGTCCAACAGATTTACTAGCCAGTCATTTTCAAGACAGATTCTTTGACACAGTTCCAATGTTATCAATTGATTCAGTCTGTTTAGTTTCACATTTCAGTATCCTGGTGTACATTGGAAAGCAAATAAGAAATCTTTTTTGAAAGATGTTTGTTTTAGAGCATTTTGATGAAAACAGCCTGAAAATTATCATTGATACTGCAATTCTACAATATGAATTAATGCTATTAATTTTCAATCATATGAATGGGATTTTAACTGTTGAGAATTATGCATGTTTAATTCAATTTTGTTGTGCAATTTTGGATCCAATGACAAAATAGAGATCAAATAGCTTGACAAATAATTAAACCTGGATATTTAAAAAAGCAAAGAATGGATATTGTTACAAAGTAAACAATAATGGTACACTCAAAAGTGTAAAGTCTGCCAGCCAATGATCTTGAAAAATTGATGACTGGAGGAAAAATAGGGGAAAAGAAAATGAAATATCAATAGGTACTAGAAACATCACAAATTCAAAGCAAGTAATAAATGACTACATAGAATAATATACATAAGCAGTGCAAAATATAAATTGGATAAAATAAAAAGATAAACGATGGTCAACATCAGATTATACATTTATAAATCTATATTGTCGCTTGTACACCAAAAAAGTTGGGGAACATTATCACATTTCAATTAAAGTGAAGTTGGCTATCAGATATGGGGTGGAGAAATCCAAAAGATCTCTAGAGGAGAGCAATTAGTTACAGAAAGCCTTGCCATTTAATGATCATCCGGGTTTTTGCAGATGACATTTATTAGTTCTTAAATCTATAATCTCCAATTTTATTTTTTTAAAAAAATAATTTGGAAATTATATTTTAAATTATAGAGTCTTCCCTTCCAGTTATGTCCCTGGAATAGGATTTTTCTTGATAAGCATGCAACTTCCATGCTGCTGACATTCTAGAAAAGTTTCAAGAAATGGCTTTTCCCCTAGGCCCGTGATGGTGAACCCATAGCTCATGTGTCAGAGGTGGCAAGCAGAGCCCTCTCTGTGGGCACGTGCACCATTGTCAGCTGCTCTTCTGGTTTCCAGTGCGCATGGTTTCCAGTTGGATTTTGTGGGTGCTGGAGCAACAGAAAACGGCCTGAAAATGGCCTGAAAAATGGCCCCAAAAACCCAGGCTGTTTTGGGCCCAAAAAATCAGCCTGCAAATGGCCTGAAAACAACCTGAAAATGGTCCCCCAAATGGCCAAAAAACAGGCACACATGCCCTAGCCAGCTGGGCTCCAGGTTTCCAGTGATGAGGCACGCGCACATGTGCACTTGCACATGGGTTCCAACTTGGGCATTCGATGCTGAAAAGTTCACCATCACTGCCCTAGGCCTTGGAATAGGGTAATTGTGGCCCCTGGGGAATGTGTATGAATGTGGTTGCTGAATATGCCCCTATATTTTGTTGATTACTCTTTTATTCTTTTATAATTGTTGTATTGTGTTTCTGTTGTTCTTGTTTTATTGAATACTATTCAAACTTGGTTGGAACTAGGTGGTGTGCAAATCAAATAGATTAAATTAGGTAATTATTTCTTTCCAATTTACAGGGGTAGGTTCCTTGAAGATGATTAGATAAAATAAAAAATTCTGCCCTGTCCATTTTGATTGACCTTGTGTGATTTATAATTATATGAACATAATATCAAAGATGAGAAACATTTGTTTGAATTTTTTTTTTGGGGGGGGGGAAAGAACCTCTCCGACCTCTTCAATATATTATCATTTTCCCAAACATTTTTTTTGAAACTATTTTTAATTCCAAATGGTTTTATAAAGGTATGGCCTCTGTGATTTCACTATTTCTTTCATGTCTAATAAGAAACTACAGATAATCCTTGAGTTACAAATGTAATGGAGCCTGCCAATCACATTTGTAACTCTAGGATTTGTAGGAGTGAATCGCGTAACTTGAACATGATTCTTTCGTCCACGCATTCGCTAATAGAATGTGCGGTTTATTAAATGCATAAGGTATTTCAGGGTGGGGACCACATGCTTCTGACCACCTAAGGCCTCCCCCAACCCACTAAGATATCTCATACTTCCCCCCACCCAGGGGTGGGTTTCGACCGGTTCGCACCGGTCCCTGCGAGCCGGTTGGTCGCCGAACCCGGAAGTAAGTAACTTCCGGGAACGGCGAAGACCCCCCCACCGCGCCCGCGCACGCCCGCACATCCGCGCCCGCTCCTTACCTGGTTTTTACGAATTCTGCGCTTTCCACACATGCGCAGAATGCATACAGTGCCTGCGCAATCCTCCAGGAGCAGCTGGAGCATCGCGCAGACGCTAGTACGCATGCGTGCGCCGCGTGCGTGCACGCGCATGCCACGTGCGTGCGCGAGGACACCGCGTCCGTGCGCGAGGATGCCGCCAGCCTCGTTCCAACCGATCCGGTTGGAACGGGGCGAGAAACCCATCCCTGCCCCCACCCTATCCTGCCCAACCAGTTACTTACCTTACGTAGATCTCGATGATTAAAGGAGCTGTCTCCTCTCCAGTCTCTCTCCCATGGTTTTACCTTGAGTAAAGACTTACTGAAGCCTACAGGAACAAGAGATTGCATACTATCCGGTCATCTTTGCAAAAAGCCTTTGCCTATGAGAACGGAAGCCTGGAGAGATGTGTATGCCCCTCTTGGCCTCCATTCAAAGCAATAAAGGCTTTTTGCAAGAATGGCAAAAGGCTTTGCAATAGAAGGATTGCTTTCATGCTTCAGGCCTTCCCTCTATTTGCCTCAGATCTTGTCCAGGCCTCCATTTGAAGAGAACAGAGGCCTAAAGTATCTTGTGATCACGTGGTACTTTAAGGGTCCATTCTCTGCAAACGCACTGAAGGCCTGAAACAGCAAAGCAAACCAAAAAACCCAAACACTTGCTAGATCTTCCCAAGTTGAGTATCCACAGACCCAGTGCCTCTAAAGATTCAGCCAGGATGGAGGGTGGGAGCAGAGAGTGAAAGAAAGAAGCAGGGAAAATGTTGCATGTGGTCATTCATAAGGGTGAATGACTACTGTGGTGCTGCAACATTCATAACTTCAGGACTCTGTCATAAGTACTTGGGGGGTTATGTCATAACTTTGAATGGTTGCTAAGTGAACTGTTGTAACTTGAGGATTACCTGTATTGCTTTTTCTATAGCTTGGTATTCTTCAAAACCTTTGCACTACAATGTCAGATTTCTGAAATAAACAGCAGATGTAGGAACTATAGTCCATCCCATCTGGCAGACACTATGATAAGAAAAACAGTTGGTGTCCACATTTACTTGTGTTCAAGTTTCAAAGGGACTAATTACAGAAAATTAAGAACATGCCTCACTCTGCAATCTTTCATAGATGTGATAACTAATGTCAACCAGTAGAGGTCTCTATTTCTTTTATGTTGAATACTGTACAATACAAATAATTTAAGTAACTTTCAACCATGCCATTCTCCATACAATATTGTCTCCCAAATGATAAACATGGTACAAAGTAATAATTTATTATATCTATATCTGAATTATAAAATCTGTCACACATACCCATGTATATCACTAGACTTTGTAACGTTGTTATTGAGATGATGGTGATGAATTAACTACAGAACATCCTAAAAGTCGGTTAACTGAATCATTTTCGGCTAAGAATTGGGCCAGGACATGAGATAAAAACAGCATTTATCCCTGTTCCTATTAAACGTCTTATTGCACTAGTAGTATAAGTAGCACTGATGGTACCATCAACCATAATATTCTTCTGGACAGGG